CTAAGCGACACCCAAGGTGGTGGAAGGCGGCTCAGGATAGGAGCTAGGAAAGCTTTCAATAAAGCGAAGTTCACTAAGAACGCGGAGGACTGGGACGAATATCGTCAATGCGTTCGAGAAAGAGATAAAGAAAGCAAAGAAGGTTTCGTAGTCCTAATTTTGCGAGGACCTCGAAACGACTACTGATGCCGCGCGACTAAGAAGGAGCCTCTCGAAAAACCCGGCTCCTCCCGGTTTTCTTAAAAAGCCAGGAGGAAGGCACACCGAAAGCAGCCTTGAAACACTGGAACACCTTATGGACGTCCACTTTCCTGGCTGCGGTGACGCAGGGGACACAGGAACTTCTGTGACAGAACACCCTAGTACCCACAGGCAAAGCAGTCCAGTGGACGAAATCATCACTACAGACAAAGTAACTTGGGCTATCAGATGCTTCCAACCCTACAAATCTCCGGGATCGGTAACCCCCTGGCTAACGACAATCTATAGGGCGAGTCTCCTCCTAGGCTATATCCCAAAGTCATGGAGGGAGGTAAGTCTTCATTCCCAAAGCAGGAAAAGCGGGCCACAGCACTGCAAAAGATTTTGGGTCCATCAGCCTCTCATAATTTCTCCTCAAAATAATGGAGAGGCTTCTGAGTCTGCAGATCACGCAACGCCTTACTCCTGGGAACTTCAGCGAGGCTCAGCGTGCCTACCGTTAAGGTAGGTCGGTTGAAACAGCCCTGTACGAGGTTGTTGGGAGTATAGAACAAGCACTGAATCACAAGGAATATGCGCTGGCAGGCTTCCTGGACGAGGAGGGCGCCTTTAACAATGTTAATTTGGCATCCATACACTGCTCCATGGTGGCTGTAGGACTGGACCCATTGATCACTCTCTGGATCGACAATATGTTGAGCACCAGAAACATCAATGGCTCCTTGGGAACATCAGAAGTAAGGAAAACAGCAACACGGGGCACACCTCAAGGGGGGGTGATATCCCCCCTACTGCGGAACCTCGTGCTAAACGAATTCCTGCTTCGTACATCGAAAGCCGCTAAGGTCGTTGCTTATGCGGATGACTTAGTCATTCTGGTCGTGGGAAAATTCCTCTCCACGGTCAGCGAGATTCTACAATTAACGATCTGTCAGGGTGGCAGAAAGAAACGGCCTAGGGGTCAATCCCACTAAAACCGAACTTGTTCTCTTCACCAAGCGATATAAAATAGACAATTTCCGACCTCCGTCCCTCAATGGAGCAAATCTCAAATTGTCAAAAGAAGCAAAGTTTTTGGGGGTTATTCTCGACTCTAAGCTTTCCTGGAAAAGGAACACCGAAGAGCGGAGCAAGAAGGCGCTCAACGCGCTCTACTCCTGCAAAGCCACTATTGGAAAAGACTGCGGTCTGCGACCGCAGATAATACGTTGGATTTATACGGCGGTAGGTAGACCTATCCTCACCTATGGCGCGCTGGTATGGTGGCAGGCGGTTGACACCAAATTCCATCTACTCAACTTGCAAAAGGTGCAACGACAAGCGTGCTTATGCATAACGGGGGCGATTTATTCAACGCCCCAGGCATCTCTAGAGACCCTAGTTGATATTCAACCTATAGACCTATATGTTAAAAGTATCGCAGCTAAAAGCGCTCTACGACTCAGAGCGTCTAACAGGCTGCGAAAAACTTGCAAAGGTCACGCCACAAACTTCGATATCCATTTTCCTGACAGAAGTGACTGGGAATTTAATATTGCTCTCAGCGATGACGAAATACCCATCTTCACGGACGGCTCCAAAATGGATATCGGAACAGGGTCTGGGGTCTTGTCTCAGAAGCTATCTCTGAGGGAGTCGTATAGACTCCCAGACCACTGCAGTATTTTTCAGGATGAGATATATGCAATCCATATGGCGCCAAGGTTGGTGGGCATGATTGACTTAGCTCCATCTAAACTTACCTTCGTTGTTGACAGTCAGGCGGCTATCAAAGCCTTAGGGTCGGCAACGACGAAATCGTTATGCGTTAAAGAATGCCGAAGATCCCTACAAGCTCTACAGCAACACATAATCAATCTTTACTGGGTACCGGGACATTGTGGTGTCCCAGGAAATGAGGAAGCGGACGAATATGCTTGGAAGGAATCTGAGATGGGGCTCGGGGAAGCGACCCAAATCGTGAAACCTTCTTGCGATTTCTGTCTTCAGAAGTCGACAGACTGACCAGGGCAGCTACCAACAGTAGGTGGGTAAACCTTCACACCTGCAGGGTATC